TGTGTGTGTGTGTGTGTGTGTGTGTGTGTGTGTGTGTGTGCAGTAGGAAGGTTTTCACACCCATGTGCTGACAGGTATGGTTAGGTTTGGCTGTGCTCACCTTAAACCTGCCTTGCATATGCATGCACAGTATAAAAAAACAATTCATGACATCATCATTTTGAAAGCCAATCACAACTCAGTATGCAGTTTTGGTGTGATGTGATTTGAAAGCCTCCATTCACTGAAAACAGGCTTCTTGGTGATGCAGATGCGTTATCTTGTGTCCAGTAGGTTAACTTGTTTTGTTTAATTTTTTTTCCAGTGAAATTTCAGTCTAAAATAAACCTTCAGTGAAGCTGCTGAACTTTATGTGTGGAACAACTTGCTAAATTAAATTAATTTAATTCCCGTCATAAACATTTATTTTTGTCCAGCCAACAGTCCAAAATCCAAAAAGATTCATATGGTTACCTTAGAAGCCGTAAACAGTCACTAGATATTCATATTTGAAAATCTGATTCGTTTTTTTTACCTTGTATTTAAAAGTCTAATCAATATCAGAAAATACTAGAATTTAGTTTGATGATTTATAATAAAATATAGAAACAATACTGTAACATCTGTAGAAAATATATTTTTAAAGTAATGTAAATAATGTTATCATTGAAAATAATCTATGATTTTTCATAGTTTAAATGAAACAAACTCAAAATACCAGTGGACAAATGTTTACATAACTGTACTAAAGCACACACAATAAAAAAACAATTATTTGCAGCATTACCACCTATGAATTACTAGCACAATATTGATATATCTTTTTTTTTTTTTAAATATCACGGTTATCTCTAATATAATACACCTCTAGATTCCTGTATGATATCCAGGCTTTCTTTGTAAAAGATAAAATCCAATGAAGCACATTTAGATTGTAACAGCTTTGTGTTTAATGCAGCAAAGATACAAACAGTCCCCGCTGGAGCATTATTGCTCTACCGCGGTGTCATCTTTGGGGAACAATCGTGATGAAATGGAAATCTGTTTACTTTGCATTTATCAGCTGCCTTGACTTTAGCTGATAGCAGAACTGATACAAAATCTTCAGATCAGAAGAATACAATCAGTGTGGGCTCATTTAAATACAAATAAAGTACATGCCTTATTTTTAATTTATGCAATAAAATAAGATCCCCTAATCCTGAGTATATACAGCCAGAAATATATGCAGCGAGCACAGATCACTTCCTTCGAAGTAATAACAGAGTTTTATTTCAGATTAGCTGTTCGGATGTCAATAATTCTCGCCAAGGCCCGTTTCGAATCTTGCATAACGAGAGCCGACCCACGCCTTTCATCCTTACTGTAATTGTTGTGTGCTTCAAAGACGAGGGAGACTGACAGGCTGTATGGGAGGATTAATACAGTGGGTGAGTGACGACATACTGAGGCGGGAGGGAGGAGCGAGAGAGAGAGAGGAGAGCGAGAGACGAAGATATGGGGGTGAGGAGGAGGAGAATGAGAGAAAAGTAGGAGAGGACAAAAAGTGGGGAGAGAGTTAACGAGAGGGACAGCATTAATTGTGTGCTTTGTGCCGGGGCTCTTTTGCTGAGTGTGGCTGTCGAGGTGCGGGCGCTCACCCCTCCAGCAGCCCGCCGTGATCTGAGCCAGCTCTCAGACTGCTGTATTCCAATGCAATTAGGCCACTCAAAGGCCTGCTTAAAGCTGCACCCCCACCACACACACACACTGATAGCAACATCCCCTGTGGGTCCCCTTCATTGTAGCAGGGACGTGTATTCTGTCCCTCTTTGAGGCCTTGGATGAAGAGACCACCCCGGGGAGCTGAAAAAAAAAGCAAGGATTACCTCTCTTTCTGTCCCCTTTCCCTCTGTCTTTCTCTCTCTCTGCCTCTTTATCTTCCTCTCTTTCTGGTTTCACCTCTAAAGTCTATCAGCTCGGGCAGGCAACTGAGCTCAGCTCCCGTTAGCTTCTCCAAAGAGACACAAGTTGGAGCTCCTTTTTTTTTTCTTTTTGCAGGAGGAAACAGAAGAAGAGGAGCAATGAGGCATTCCTGTGATGGATGTCATTGTGGGACTGCTCTAGCAATACCACTTCCCTCTTCCTCTTTCATTATTCATGCAGTCATATATTTCAACAAGTGGCGTGGGGCGTGTAGCTCGCTAGCTCGTCCCCGTTGGCACAGGCGCCGCAGCCTCAGTCAGTCTGTCCCCCTCTGTGTGCTGTATTAAGAGAAAGCGCTCCATGATAGCAGAGCTCTCTTGGCTGGCTTTCAGTGCGTCTCATTCCCCAGAAAGCATTTAAAACAGATTACAAACCTAACGCTACACCTCCCCAATAAGAGAAGAGAGGAGGAAAGAGGAGGAAAAAAAACCTGGCACATTAGCACCTGCAATACTAGTCAATGGCATCAACAGATTAACGAGGTAATCCACACAATGAGGTCTTTGATTCGTGTGGTTTGGCAGGCAATAATGCCAGGCATAATACACACTGTTATTTCAGGCTGTCCCAGCACGAGAAAACCTGGCAGAAGCTGATCTCTCTCTCTCTTTTATTTATTTATTTTTTGTTCTTTCTATCAGATGAGCTTCTTTTTTTTTTTTGAAGATTTTTAACTTGTGCATCTGGCGCTTTTGCCCGTTTTCTTGTCGGGGAAATAACCTGCTGGCTTCTCCTGTGGCACATGTGAAGCGAGGAATCACAGGCTTTCTGAAGGCTGTTTAAACAGCAGGGCTGAGGAGCTCTCCATCGTCCTTCCCCCCTTATTTTTCTGCATAAGGACGTGCGTACAGGATAAGTGTGTGTGTGTGCGCGCGAGTGTGTGCGCGGAAGATCTCGCAGCCCCATCGCTCATGTGCGGCTCGATTAGCCCCACGTGCCTCGTTCGTCAGACGTGGAGGCAGAGCAGATGGCAGAAGACGCACCGTGTTACCATGCTGGAGCACTATGTAACGCTGCTCTAATTGAAACATCAATACTGCCCTGTCAATACACTACTGCTACTTTACAAAACACCTCCACCAACAGACCTGCACTAGACTGGCAAAGAAAAAAAAAGTTTACCGCCCAGGGTGAAAGTAACTTTCTCTGTAACGCTTCCTGGTCTTTTTAATCTCCTAATATTAACACTTCACTTGCTTTCTGTTTGTATACAGCTTGTGGTGTTAAAGGAAGCATGCATGGGAAAAAAAGAAAAAAGGAAGAGATCCTCCTCAGCAGTATCTCCACTGTGGCAAAAATTTTAATGAATTGATAGAAAGTTGAGAGAGCTCACATGGCTGTGATCAGTAATTCGACGTTATTGGGAATTCAGTGGAGAACAGAGAGAAATTAGGCGGCTAGGAATTAATTTGTTATTTGTCCAACTCAATGAGGAGTGACGCAGCCCCCTTTAATGAACGGGGTAATCCATTTCTTATTGCACGGAGCTGAATTCACCCTTCATTGAAGTGGAAAAAGACAAACATATCTTCCACTAACCTTTGCTACTTCCGAAGGCAAACCAGGAGTGGGATCGGGGGTTGGGGGGCGGAGACGAGCGCTGCTGGAGCTATTTGTTTTTCAGAAACAGGGTTTTGGGGTTTGTGTAGGCGAGAAAGTGGGTTTCAAAGCCGACCTACAATAAGTCATCTTTGCTGATACCGAGGCCACAAAGTCAAAATACAGTACGCTGACTTGATTCATGATTAACTGGCTTTTCTGCACTGTGGAAAATGACAGTCTTTACAAAACTATGGTTCATGGTTGTGTTTTTAATTCCCTTCCCTCTGCCCCGCCCCCTCTCATGCCTTTCTGCTCACAGATCCGTCATCTGTTGGATCTAAAACGCTTGATTGTGCCGACATCCTGGATCTTCTGTGAGGGCAAGGACCTGCGCTCCTCATCCGCGTCGTCCCCGAAGGTCTCGGTTTCAGGAGGCTCCCTCTCAACAGTAGGTCTTGTTTTCTGGGCAACATGTGTGTCAAGTATCTGTGGGACAGTGTAAATAGTCATAAGATAGCAGTCTAGGGTCTGATTTTGCTCTTCAGTTCACTTATTGGGTAATTTTATAATATGAAAATTCTCCTACAATCGAAAACGCTGTACCTGAGTGGGTTACATTTCAATAGGGAAAAATCTCTTTAATTAATTAACTGAATATCACAATAGTTGCCAATTCAATTAAATAATTGTTTCAGCTGTTAAAAAACAAACAAAAACAAAAACAAAAAGACCAACCACATATCTATTATGAAAAAAAAAAGCATTCTGGTGGCCAAATGGGCAGAGTGCCATGTGTCTAGCGTGCAAACTCACATTCCTCGAATTCATTAAATCAAATCATTTTCCCTTCATCTATTCCACTCCTCAGTCTTCACCCCCCCTAACAGAAAAAGCACAAAAAACTCAAACTATAAAAATAACCTGTGTTTTAGGACTGGTGGGGGTTGCAGCTTACCTTGAAAGCCAGACTAGATGTCAGGCTCGACTTAACCGGTCTGTCTCCTTGAGTTTTTCCCATCTGGTTAATGAAACAGATGTTTCATGTTAAAGACAAACAAAATATGTACAAAATATGGCTCTGTTGTGTGAAGGAAGCGAAAATACACTGATTCCTGCATTTCCCATAATGCAGATTTCTTCCAACCTGGTAATGAACCATATTTTTCAGCTTCTTAAAGTTATTCCTCACCGTGAAACCAATGTCTTTACAGGCTGAGCAGCACTCGGCTACACTAGCAAGCTGCATTCATGTGCAAAACCAGTAGAGAAACTCTAATTTCCAATAAGCAATATTTTATTTTTAGCAGCTATGGTGCGTTATTTATTCTAGTTAAGGCTCCTTGTGGGCTTCCATCTGCTGCACTTCTCACCACCACCACTTGCAGCAGGAGTCGCGACTCCTTTGACATCCTTTTCCCCCTCCTTATGGAAGTCAAAAAGCTGAGAAAACACACAGAGGAAATGGGCCACGAGCTGTTCAGAGGAATCCAATTCAACTCTGTTTTTGCAAGAAAAAAGGCAAGGACAAACAGCTGAATTTGAAATCAATCAAACGCTGGCTCTGTCCACAGGAGCAACGTTCAGGCTCTGGTTACGATTTGATCTTGGCTCAAGTTTTCAGTGAGTGTTGACGTCTCAGAGTTGTGAGGAATCCCGAGCCGGCAGCTTACAGCGGGGGTTTTAGTGATACAGTATTTACAAGGCATGAGGAAGTGGGAGCGCTGCAACAGACGGCACCATACACGGTGCTTTCAATTATTTCTCACAGCATTCATGAAAATAGAAGCACAGCGGGGAGTACAGTATGAACGACAAAACTATAAAAAGACACGGAGTGAAAAGAGAACTCCCAAGCTAAAATAAATGGCGTTGTGTGCCGTTGCTTGGTGGAGAGCTCAGAAAAATGCATGCCTCCCAAAAAGAGTCAGAAATAGCGTAGAGTACAGACCAGAGTAGGGGTGATGGAGCAAAATGGATGCATAAATAACTGGAAGGAGGTTGAAGTTTGGATTTGAGAGCATCTTATGAATCGGTTTGTAGAGTTATGTTGGCCTGATGCTCTAAGCAGTGGGCATCAAAGAGCCTCTCATACACGCAGATCCATTCATAATATTAAATATGAAGGCTTGATGGAAACTTGCTGCAACTTACACGGGTTTCAGAAAGGAGAACACCTGCTTTTTAAGTTTGCGCTGTTAGCATGCTAATTCGTTAACATTTGCTAAGCACAAATGAGGCTAACGGGAATATGGCTAATTTTCTACTGTAGGTTATTGTTTGTGAACCTGCCACCTTAAATTATTGGCTTGATGATAATGCTATAGAAAAACAGACAGAATACATACATTTCGGCACATAATCATCATCAATCCGTCCTGTAGTTGATCGCATATATTTTTGGGGTGTGGATCAAAGCAGTGGACTGACTCCCAGCCCTACTGACCTTTCAGCTCATACCGCTATGCTGCTAACATGGGTGAAAACAAATGAAGCACCCAGTCCAAACTCATGATGCTGTTTCTTACATCAGAGTGTTTCTCTCTGCACTGCCATGTTATATTACAGTCTTACAGTATTTATATGCCTTGATAACTTATCAAACAAGCGCAGTGTGATGCTGCAAACCTCAGCTAAGGCTAAAACCCGTTCCAAAGTAAGAACTTAGAACAGAGACCAGATTGTGATATTTTCTTGACAACACCAAACAAAAAAATAAAATTGCAATAACTTTGCATGAAAACAGAGCAACTCAACCGATCACATTACCTGTTGGCAGAGGTAATAATACGATTCAACAGCAACAGCAGCTTCGGGTTTATGTTGTTTGCTGTGTATTAACATCATTCATTGTTCAATTAACAAAAAAATTTTTGGCATCAACCTTGATTGCTTTATTTTTAAATTTTTTTTATACATATTAAAATGAAAACCCAAAGATATCTGTCAGACTGTTTGTTTTGTAATTGTGTCACAGAGTTCCCAGTTCAGATCAGAAATGATGGTGGTGAACACAGTGTTACTGTTATCCAAGAGCAAGGACGACAACTACGATGAACAAATAGAAAAATCCACAACCACAAAAAAAAGAATAAAAACAACCTCCAGATGAAAAGCTTCAGATTGGTAAATTTAGCATATTCAAGCGAATAGGCGCACACACCTACACTGCATCTTTTCTGCCCTCCAACACATCACCGCAGACAGACGACAACCAGCTTTTCCTCGAGCTGATCTTTCTCTCTTCTCTGAGATGAGAAGATGCTGGTGAGTAGAGAGAGGGAGAGGCTCACAGACAGAGACGTTTGTTTCCCAGCCCTTCCACCGTCTCCGTGGG